AAATCAAACTGCAAAATTCCGGAATTTCTTGAACACCTAGATACTGTCCTTATGCAAAATAGATTTAGCGGCTATACAATATTAGCTGGTGACTTAAACATTGACTTATTGAGTAACGAAGATAATAGTATAAAATTAGGTGATATTGTTAAATTTCATAATCTCAACTTACTTAATGAAAATGCAATTACAAGGGTAAATGACACAGGAGGAACATTGATAGATCATGTTTTTGCTAATTTTAAACTGGAAAGCTCATTTGAAATTATTCCCATGTTATTCTCTGATCATTGCGCTGTTTATGTATCTGTTGCGTTGCCAGTCGAAAAACTGAAAGATACTTTTAAGTACGTCAGAACCTATTCTGAAGAAAATTTCCAAAAATTTAACTCTTTCCTAGAGCAAGAATATTGGACTCAAGTATATCATGCTAGTTCAATTGATAGTAAAAGTGAAATTTTTATGGGAACACTCACAAAGTACTTTGAACAATCGTTTCCAATGAAACGTGTAACAATTAGAGCTAACCAAATAGATAAAATTAAGTTGACCGAGGAGACAAGAAAATTACAAAAAGATATGATAGAACTCAGTAAAGAAATTAAACTGAACTTAGACCAAAATAAAATATTAGACATGAAGTCAAGATTAAAAATTATTAAGAAGAAAGTTGTTGATAATGTTCAAAAAGAAACTAAATTAAGAAATGACAGTAGAATATCAAAGGCTAAAAATAAATCTAGTGCAGCATGGAAACTTATTAATTCACAAACTGGTAAAAGAATGAATGTAGATTTAATTGATAACTTGAATATTGATGGTGCCAGTGAGTCAATTAAACTTAATATTGCTAACCATCTGAATAACAAGTTTGTTGAATTGGAGCCAGATACAAGCAATATAAATTTAGATGACTGTTCCAAACTGATAGATGATATCAATATAACGGCTCAAAGCCTGCAGTTTATGGAAGAATTTGAGATCTATAGTATAATTAATCAACTTCCGCCAAAATGCTCATCTGGGTGGGACGGGATTTCAACTAGTGTCTTAAAAAAAATTTCAATTTACATCACCGTCCCGCTTACACATCTTATAAAGGAATCATTTCTGCAAGGGAGATTTCCTGACAATATGAAATTAGCTAAAATTATTCCTCTGTTTAAGAAAGGTGAAAAGGATGACCCCTCTAACTATAGACCTATAGCTATTACTTCAGCAATTTCAAAAGTGTATGAAAAAGCCTTTTTACATAGACTAGATACTCACTTTAACGTAAATAATATCTTAATCCCTGAGCAACATGGTTTTAGAAAAGGGAAAAGTACAGTGACCGCCCTATATAGTTATGTGACATCTTTGTATGAATCTGTTGAAGCCAGGGAGAAGGTTAATGTTATATTGTACGACTTCTCAAATGCGTTTGGAACACTTTATCCTCCCCTTCTTGTGCATAAACTTAAATTATACGGCCTACATAAAAATCTGTTATCATGGCTTGAATGTTTCTTGACTAATAGAAAACAATATGTGCAGCTTAAAAATCTATCTTGCGACCGATATGAAGAACTTATAAATTCAGATGTAATTGAGAGTAACATGGGAGTGCCTCAAGGTACAGTCCTCGGTCCAATTGGATTTACTACATACTTGAATGATATTGCCCTTGTAGTTTTCCTGGCTCTCTTAATTCTATTTGCTGACGACTCTTCAGCAATCGTAAAAGGTGTATCTTCTTCTGATGTGAACTCGAAAACAGTGGCCGTTAATGAAAGCTTTGTCGGTTTCGCAAGGGACAACTTTCTTAGAATCAATTCGAAAAAGACTAAAATTTTGCAAATACATACAAGCCAAACTAGAAACCTTATCGAACCTGAAGTGAATATTCACGACCAAAAAGTAGAAATCGCAAAGACTGGTAGATTATTAGGAATCCAAGTAACTGATACCTTAAGCTGGAAAGACCAATGTGATAAGGTTGTTAATCAACTACGAAGTGTTACACATGTATTTACAAGATTGAAATATAAAGTGTCCGATGATATCCTAAAATTAATATATTATTCCCATATACAAAGTCATATAATGTACGGAATTGTGATCTGGGGGGGCTCTTGTCATTTGATTAATGTTTTTCGAGCACAAAAAAGAGCCTTAAGAGCTATGGCGGGCGTCCCATATTGGAGATCAAACGAAGCCCTGGATACATGTAAACCATTATTTATAAAATATAATATTATGACTGTGCCTTCTCTCTATATACTTGAATGTATTAAATTTCTAGTGCGGAATCGTCACCTCTTTCAAAAATATAGTGATAGTGTTGACACGAGGCGGGTGACACGAAAAAATCAAACCAATGTGTGTATAAACGATTTAGTAGTAAGGGATATTGCCCTCAAAAAGTCTGTAGAAAACCCTGATTATATGATTCCAAGAATTTTTAATGCGCTGCCAAAAAATCTAAAAACCCTCGAAAATGACGAGGAACTTGTGAAGGAGGTGAAAACTTTTGTACTTCAACACCAATTCTATGACTTAAACGAGTTTTATCGTTTGAATAATGCCATGTATCTTGACTTATTTTAAAAAGTATTATTGCTACCGCAAATTAATGCTTAACAAAATAAAGAATATTTGAAATTGAAATTGAAAAATTTTGAAAATTATTGTCGACACCGGTTTTTCTTTGCAGGTGTCGGCGCGCAGATTCCATAACAAGTATATAAGCGCACCTCTCGCTTTTATCTGCCAGGTCACTTTCAGTAAAAGTATGCGACGCACACTCCAAATCAGGGGTTTCATAAACAGACAACCTCAATTTAAAACGATCAATATGCAACGATTTTGAAATTCAGCCCACATATATAACCAGGATTTTTTTATAGCTGACACTACTTATCGTCTATTCAAGTATATGATTTTATCTGAAACTCATTTGAGGAAAACTTTAAAATATACATTAAAATATTTTAATTTTTGCAAGAAAAGTCCTTTTTTCTGCCAATTAAATTTATTTATAGTCATTAATACTAATCACTCATTATCAGCCAGGTTCTACTCTGGGCACGTTTCTCCACAGATCGAGCTCATGAAAAAAATTACTAATTTTTTTTTAATTGTTGTAATGCTCAGAACAATAACTACAATTTTGATTATGAATGCCATGCATGGCATAGCGACAGAAGACAGGGGTTATACGTTCATCATTTAAATTTCCTACCATTAATTGACATAAATAATAATTATTTTATATTTTTCTTAAGTCATCTATTTGCTTTATTAAAATTTAAATTGTAATCTGGGCTGGATCGCCTTAGTTGGAAAGGTTTTTTTACTCCTAAAAAACGCTATCTGTGCGATATGACATGCATAATTATATTTATTAAAGGGCATTGACGTCTGTGAAGTCATTCTAACCACCTTTAAAAAGAGTTTTTTTAATTATGCCAGCCTTCATTTTTTATTATATTCCTATGTATGTATGAAAAATATTAGTAGTTTCCCAGAGTGTTTAAGAAGGAAACTGAGATAATTGAGTGAAGAATTTGGCGCTCAAGAAGATCATTGAACTGTCAAAAACGGGCATTGTCCTTCGTTAAAAAAAAATTGGCTTTCCTTAAACTGGTAGAGCAGCGGTAGAGTTATATATTTTTTTTTTAAATAAAAACCAAAACGTAAAAACCCTATTTTCAACAAAAGGATAGTTTTCTTCACTGAAATAATTTTCGAAGATTAAATGTTTTATGTCTTGCTTTCCAGTCACATAAGCACCGGCCGATAACTCCGTTTGGAGTTGGCTGGACTCGTAACTTCATTCAAATAAATATACACTTCATTAAAGAAAAGTTGAAAAAAAAACTCCTCTTTGCTACAAAATTTATGTGAATGAACAAATCGCCTAAAAATGTTTATATTTTGGCATTGTGATTATTGTATTTCAGTGACTTATTCTTAACTATATTTAGTTTATTTGTTAATCAATATGCAATATAAATATTGAATCTGAATGAGCTTGGTTTATCCCAAGCTCATATGAGTGAAAGTGCATTTGATACTGTAGTAATATAAATCAATTGGAGCGTTTCTTGCAGCAAGAAGTGCATTTGCACTTCCCCAACACAAATTAATGATTTTCCTCATTCCTCTTCGGAGTCTTCGGGTCTGACTGAGCTTGAAAACATTAGAAAATTTATTGACTCATACTTGCAAGCAGCATACCCTCATATGAATACTTCAACTATTATTATCAAATTCCATTGTTGTTGCTTTTTTTAATTTTTTTGTTAAGCACTGTTACATAAGTAATAAACATGGCATTATTTAAGCGATATAACTCGTTCAAGTTATAAAATTTAGGCTAATACAAATCTTCACCAATACCTATAGATCTGTTATATACATAAATAATTATATCATAATGTGTCTGTAGAGCTTTTCTTATTTTAGCGTAAAAATGATTTTCTTAGTAAACAAATGCCTGTGGGCCCTGTGTTGCCCTGGACGTACAACTATGAGTGCACCCTTCTCATCACGAAATCGGAAATCTTGCCAAATGAGCAACAATAAGCCTTCACACAAACTACTCGCAGTCTCATTGTCAGTATAAGAAATTGCCCAGGTCCCTTCGAGAAAAATCCACCTGGAGTGGGAATCAAACCCACTATCCCCGCAGTGGAGGTCAAGCGCACGCTCCACTGTGCCATATGAGAGACGACACATTTCACTTGGAAACCAGCCAGCGCGCACTTTGAATGCTAATTGCCGCTTTTATAATGGCGCTCTGTGGCAATGCTGGCTGAACGAAGATGATAATCTAATCTGATGTGCATTTCTCGCTGTAGAAAAAGCTGATATTACATAATTATCTCTTTTTCTGTGCGACATAGCGTGCGCGTGCTAAATGAAATCAAACCCAGACTGAGTAGATCATCTTTCGTCTATGCTATATTATTTATGTACACACTGCTGTACGGTACCATATGTATTACTAGTACCTTTACAAGGATTTTGCTTGCGCTTTTTTTTTTGAACATTGATAAAAAAAATTCCGTTTTAAGATTCAAGCAGACGTAAAATATATTCTAAATTAAATTACGTTAAAGCAGGCTGCAATACAAATCAATTAATAAGCAAAGTCTCTATAGACATATTGCAGCACACCTGTTGCAAGTGCACTTTCGCAAATAAATTTATCCAAGGCAATACACGGAGTTTGAAAGCAGGAAATGTCTTGATGTACTGTACTGGCATTTTAAATTGTATGATTGAAGGTTAAATCATAATTGTGATATATTTTTCATAAAAGCATTGAAATTTTAGGTGGTATAAGTTTTGTGTTTTTAATGTGTTGTCTTCTCGAGGAACAAAAATTATGCTGAATTTATTTATTATTTAAATAATTTTAAAATTAAACTCTTATATTAATTTTAGCATCTGGTACGTTTGACAAGCTTGATAGTAATTCAGATTTTAATAGTTGCTGTTTTATAAGTTGAAATTGATGTAATTGGTTCATCGTGTTTTGAAGAACAAACAGATATTTTTTATTATTTATGTGTATATGTCTTAAATCTATAGAATGCTTTATTCGTTTAAACTCCAGCTAAAAATAATTTAATTCCCACTTAGTAGCGCTGTTTGGCACTCGCTACTGGTCTTGGGCTAATTTAAGTTAATGCGCATTATGTTTTGTGCTGTCCAAACGCGCGATCAGTCAGTCAGTCATCAGTCACTCACTCCTGGCGCCTGCGGAATGCAACAATGCTTGGCTTGGCCCATTGTTGTGTACCCTTGGCTGGTGCACCACTTTCACCGCACACTTTCTCTGTCAGACAAAGTCTCAGAGGCGCGCACGCAGTAAGGCCAGTCTTCGCCAGGTGCCAACACCCACAAAGCACCGTTCTAATCCACACCGGCTCTTGCATTCAAAAAACATTAAATAGTCTTGCAATTTAAATTTTTGAGTGTTCAGGCCGCAATTGGCAGGCAGGAATGCGTGCCCAGGTTAAATGTGCGCGGAATCCAAGACTTGAAAGCCTCGTCAGTGCCAGGACAAATTTGTAGTCTAAATTTTTGTACGGTTAATATTTTAAATTTAATATGTTCTTCAAAAATTATTATACCTCTCGCCCGTTTCCAAGATGGTGATACTAATTTCGTCAAGGTAAATTAGAGGGTCACCGAAGAGTCGCCAAGAGAGTGGGTTCCAAACGGTGTGCCGGAAATCCCACTCGAGGTGAATCTGCCTCATTTCCCCTACCTTGGTCGCGGCTACCACCCTCCGCCAGGTAGAACCTGGAGCGAAATATGTTGCACTGGAAAAGAGGAATTTAACTGAGTGAAACCCAGCTGCAGGGTTTTCGGAGGTGGTTTTCCCCCTGCCTTGCGCAAGGAGGGTTAGTCAAATGTTTGCCCACTCTCACCAAATTATTAATTACCTCAATCACTCAATCAGCTGATGTTAATGTGATATTAATAATAATAATATATTTTGTACTTATTGTTAGAATTAATGACTTGTTGCAAAGGCAAATTGGATAAGTTGGATAAATATAATGAAATAAACTTTTATCTACCACAAAATCAAACCACAAAAAATTGTATCTAATCTAATCTAATTGTTTAATTGCTATCATTATTATTATTGATCTTTATTTACTTATGAGGCGTCACCACTCCAATCATTGCGACGCGCCTCATTGCAGCTTAGTACAAAACAAGAAAGAGACAACAAAAATATTATAATATATTTATCTAAAATTTGAAAAAAATTCTTCTCCGTTATATATAGTTATGTTACTATGTTGCAAATAGGGCGCGTCGCAATGAGTAATTACATCGTGGCGACGTCTCATAAGTCAATAAAGAATAATAATATTAAACCCAATATTTAATACTTAATTCTAGATAATGTTGTGATCTGGCAGTGCGGTCGCCAAAAAGAACAAGCCCGAATGTCATGTTATGGTTGCGGTTCAAAGGCACACCGTCCCGCAGGTGCCAAAGAGACACTGTCAGATTTTACTGAAATACCCGTGACTGTAAAATTTACTCTGTATGATCATTTAAAAATTTTTTTAGTAGAAATGAAAATTTGATTTTTATCCTGTAAAATTCAGCCTTCTATATTAAATGCCGCGATAAAACAAATCGGCTTCATTTATACTGCCTTCTTCTTATGCCCATTGACATGCACCTCAGGTACACCAACCTCTAATACTTCTTCAAAAAGTGCCTGAGCGGCGAAACAGATTTTGTTGCGCGTGCCCTAATCATCAAAGGTCGTAAGCTGCGAGGCGACGACGAACATCACCCTCGCCTCCAGCCTCCCCCGATTAACAACAAGATTGAAGATTTTAAAGTGTTTGTGATATCGTTCTTTTTTTTTGACAGTGTGGGTTTACCGCGGCGGCCGTGCCTCTTTAGCGTTTTAGATTAGATTAGATTAGATCAAAATTTATTGCATTAGACATATATAGTACATCTCCAATTTGCCTTTACAACAGGTCATTATAATAATAATAATTAGGTTTTATCAATCAACTAAATACAACATCAAGTGAATGAGGGAGCTCGCACGCCATTAGTTATTCGGCGGGGGTGGGCAAGCCTTTGACTAACCCTCCTCAAATACTGCAGGGGAAAACCACCCCCGAAAACCCTGCAGCTGAGTCTCAATCTTCCAAGTTTAAGCATTCAAATTTACATCTCCAATATTCATTCATATCATAGAATTGACACTTCAGCATTACATATTTGACACTTTTAACAAAGTTGCCATAGTCAGCTATTTCTTTCAATACATTCGGTAATTTGTTATATACTCGTGCTATCATTATCTCAGGACTTTCATTCACACAATTTAGTGAGCTTGGCCTTACAAATAAATCTGTTTCAACATATGCAGTAGCACGCGTATTTCGCACTACAACACCTGGAACATCACGATTCATTTTAAACTTTTCAGGAAATTTGCGCACAAACTTAACACACTCCAAAATATATAATGAATAGACTGTAAGAACTCCAAATTTCACAAATAGTGGTCTACATGAGTCAAGTGCCGAATTACTTCTCCAATATTGAACGCCAGCCATCGCTCTTATTACTCTTTTCTGCGCAAGAAAAACATCTTTCATATGTGTAGATCCACCCCAGATTACAATCGAGTATAGAATTCGGCTAGCCGCATATGCATGATAGGCTTGGACCAAAGTCGATTCTAGAACTTTTTCTCGTAACATGATAAATAAATACGTAACACTACGCAACTTAGTAACCACTTCGCTGCACTGTTTATTCCAATTCATTGTATCTGTTAACGTTACTCCTAGAAGGCGACTACTGTTCACCACAGACAATTCCTCATTCTCAATCAATATTTCAGGCTGGATTATATTCCTCGTTTGAGCGGTGTGCATTGTCATTACCATAGTCTTATTCGGATTCAATTTCAGGTGATTATCACTCGCATATTTCACCATGTCAGAGTTTGCTTGTATTGTCTTTTCATTCACCTCAGAGGCAGTTTTACCTTTCACTATCATTGTAGAGTCATCGGCAAATGCTGCTAGTTGTAAAACCTTTCTTCTCTTTTTTTCTCCAATTTAAAAATTTTTGTACAGACCGAGAAGAATAAATAATAATAATAAGTATGGACGCGGCGCATTTTCCTTCAGCCAGGAACGACCTGCCACCTGCCCTCAAAGACTGTCCCTCAAGCAATTTTCCCTCCCTCTGTAAGGAGCATTTTTGGCAGCAATTCAAGATTCAATATTTTAAAGTGTTTGTGATATTGCTCTTTTTTTTCGATAGTGTGGGTTTACCGCGGCGGCTGTCTCTTTTGATATTGGGCGTTTTAACAGACAGCTGCTATTTCTCTTTTTTTCCAATTAAAATTTTTCTCTATTGACCAAGAAGAATAATCAGAGCAATGAAAATGCAAGTAGATAAAACTCTATTGGTATAAATTTTCCCACAGCACAAAAATTGTTTCCGTTTGTATAAAGCCAATCATTTTGAATTTAATTTTGCACAGTGCTTGACCAATTTGTAGGAATTTTTATTCGTCTTTAAAGAAGAAAGGGTATCCACAGCTAACAGAATGTCACTAAAACGTCCAACATAAACAAACATTCAGCCGCCGCGGTGAACCCACACTTGACATGAAAACTAAGTAAATTATGCTTAACGGAATAAAGAAATTTAAACATGATATATAAAAAAATCAACTGATCACTTACGATTCTTGAAGTTTGATTCTGTGTGTGACACCGTCAGTACCGTTCAGCTGCATGTAAAAGGCACCAACCTCACCGCCGTGCTCCTGGCTGCTGCTCGAATTTGAGATTTTTAACTCAACCAAGTACTGGTTCCCTGAAAAATAATATGTTCAAAAATTTGATAGAAGAATAAAGAATAGTAGTGATGAAATTTCTTGAAATCTTAGATGTCCTTACTGCAGAATGGATCCCTGCCAGCAGTTTTTAGTTGGAACGCCACCAGTTCTCTCCTGCCCATAGGTCTGGCGTGAAAACCCATTCTGGCACAGGCCTTCTCTCCACCGAGATTCTCGCAGCCAAAGCACAAACCGTTGTCGTAGTTCTCGAACGAGTTGCACTCCACCCCCATGAAATCGCACTCAGTGTTCACAGACTCGGTAAAGTACTCGTAGCTGCGAATGTGGTTGCATCCTAGAGCTTTTCTAATGCCTAAATTTTCTTCAATAAAAAAGTTATCAATAATATTAACACATATTTACCAAGGACAATTCCTCGCCTGTCACCCAATGAATCGAACATCGCGTTTTCACAGCCAGGCATAATTTCGCCACCATTTGGATAAAAGTCCACGTGTCCCACGGCTTGTTTGATTCCGAAGCCCCCGCTAATGAAAGGTGCCGCGTCTGTGTGAATTACGTCCACAAAGTCAGCATCTGAGGGATCCAGGCGGACCTCAGGATCGGTGTCTGCGAAATGCGGTTCAGCAGGGTCCAAACCTTTAAATGGGGAATTTTAAAGTTTAATTTTATGCAATGTGTTTACTTTTATGCCTTTTTTGTATGAAATTTCCAATTTTACTATAGTAAATAAACTATTCAAATTACCCTGCTTTTATTTGGTTTTGAATGAAAATAATAAAAAAAAATAACTAGTTCTTTTAATACAACAATCAACAAACAAATTTCTAAGCGATCATTTCTATAATTAATTTAAATTTAAAGAGAAATTATTATAATCAATCTTTAGCCACTTATGAGGCGTCACCACTATGTAATGACTCATTACGACGCGCCCCATTTGCCCATTTGCAACATAATATTTAATATTATTGTTTGATATTAATATTTACTGGTTTAGTATTTGTTCATTCTTCACAAAACCAATTAGAAAGAGTAAAAAATACAAAATATGAAGAACCAGCTGCACCTTTGGCAAACAATTTAAGTTGCTTAAACGCGGGGGCCCCAAGGTGAGCCGCAAGATGTATTTGTTAAATTTTACTGTCTGAAAAAATTTACAGTAATTTATATTTAGCAACGACTTTGATATAAAGTACTAAGATGGAATTGCCCGTAAACTCATCAATCCCAATTTATCAAACTAAACAAATTAGAAGATAAGATTGTGTAATGGAAATGAAGAGGTACGTCAGGCTTTTTCCTTGTTGCGAAAATGGTTTTTATTCAAAAACAAATGGCAACGAGGAAAATTCCAATCTCTTCATTTCCATGATCATCTCCTTGAGTGTCTCAATTTCTTCAAAAAGATTGTGAAATTTTGCGATTTCTTTAGTCTTTACATCAAAAGAGAAACCGTAAATACTATTCAAAAATGCAGGAAAAGAAGTTATCAGAGAAAAAGTAAAAAATATTGAGGGGGTCCCAAGTCCCAAAACCTAACCTGACAGGCTAACTTTATCCTCCATGCAATTTGAATGGCAGGTCAAGTTAGTCGGAGTTTTTATTTTACCCTTATTATAAATATTAACTTTTAAAGAATTTAATACTTGTGAGTTGATTAGATTTGTTACAAAATCGTGTTTTTACACACATCTGCGCGTATATATAATAATATGATGCTAAAATATTGAGTTGAGAGTTGAATGATTATATTTTTCAAACTGCGACTCTTCTTTCCTCACAAAAATACGCAAAACGTGCGACTGTGTGCAAGATTATTGTTCATCTGGTGTAGTCAATGAACAATCTGGGCCCAGTGATAAACAAAAACTAGATAAAGCGCTAAAGCAATCTTTGCCCTCGTAATAATAAAAAGGGGTTAGAGAGGTTACCAGTTGACGTATTCGTTGGGTCAAGGATTGCTTGGTGCGTTCCTCTCGACGCGGTGCTTAAAAATAAAAACGTAACAGCTGTCAAGATTTACATTTTAGAGTAACTTACTCAAACCAAAGGTTTGCCCACAAACTGGGTTCATTCCAAAAAATTTCACTAACAAAAACCAGCATTATCTATTGAGTAATAACCACAAAAAATTTTGACAAATAATAAAAATTAAATGCACTTGATCATATTAGCATATTTAAATTCATACATGTACAATGCTTTTTTATGTAAATTTTAAAGTGCCTGTGTGATCAGTGATTGTTCTTTCTCTCTCTCGATATAATGTGGATTCACCGCGGCGGCTGTCAAACGTTTTAGCAGACCTCTGGGCAATAGTTGTGATATCAATTTTGCTCATTTTTTTAATTCTCACGCTTTTTTGTAACGACTCTGTAGGATAAAATAATATTATGGTTTTTTCCATTAATTCAAATTTTAATATTATTTACCATAATAAGTATTTTATGAGACTTTGCTGCGGTTCAACTTAATTAAAGGTGCATAGTGGCGCAGGTATAAAATTTCAATCAAATAATATACCTGTTTGTAAAATATATGAATATATGTGCCGTAGATTCAAATTGTTTTATATGTACAAGGTGGGCGTGTTGAATGACTATTTCAAGTCCGTGCGTTAAAATTTAGTAAAATAAAATTTTAAATTTACTTGTGCATGTGAATGTATGCAAGTCCGAAGTCATCACAAGAGCGCAATATAAATAAATGTATTGCTCACTGTGGTGACTAATGTATGTATCATGGCTGTCAAATGACCCCGGCATTCGTCAATCCCCAATGAGAGTGCTCTTGTCTAATTTAGGCCAATAGGATCTGAAAACAGCTCAAAGTTCGCTCTCGTCTTTTCCCCATTCCCGTTGATATTTTTTGTCAGCCATCACCGATAATGAAATTACTCTGTGTTTTCAGACCTTTCAAACCTTTTCCCGCAGCCGGGTTCAAAGTATAACAAACCCGTCAGTAAACACGCAAGCGACAAAAGCGGGCTTTACTCTCACCAGTAATTCTGCCGAGCTTAACGTGCCACCCTTTGACCGCGGATCCCGCGTAGCCGGCGGTGTGAGCCCCCAACGAATGGCCAATGATGTGTGTCTTTGGTGGCCGCAGTCCAACTTCTTCCTGAAATAAATGAATATTATGATAATGAAGTAAAATCAATCAATCAATCACTTTTTTTTAGAATAATTCACGATTTTTTTATGACAATAAGACTGAATTTTCTTTTTTCTATCAATTATTCTTATCATTTGATTGGTGGTGTTACAAACTTTTACAGTTCACAATCCGTTTGCTTCTGTACTTTTGCACTTTGTAAACCAATGTGGATTTTTTATGCATTGAAAGCTCTTCTCTATTTATATCTTTCTCTAGAATTATAGATAAAAGTAATTCTTGGGAAACAGAAAATAGACGTTGCTCTTGCTGCGTGACGCGAAAATTAATTAAAGACCAGCACGCGACTGCAAATTTTGCCGAAGAATTAATTAATTTCTGCAATTTACCATCAGCTTGATAATCATGATTGCGACAGCTCGACCCACGAGTCGAATGTTAGCCACAGCCTGTGCGTACGGCGGTCCTGAGCCTCCATTCCAGTCCACAGCAATCACATTTGCGTCGATCTTCTTCAGAAGTTCATCGCTCAATTTCTGCAGATTGAAAAATTTACATTATTTGCGTTTGGATTTAAAATTAGTGTGCGTTAAAAATTAATTTCAAGATGTCTCTAAATATTTTATATTATTGACTCCAAAATAAATTATCTTTTTAATCAGACAAAATATAATAACCATCGGATCATATTTAAAAAAAAAAACTCCCATACCTTAATCCATGTTTTATTTCCTGATTCAAGGTATCCATGAACAATAAAGAAAGTCTGTCGATTGTCTTTAATAAAAGAATTGAAGAACGTCGATGTGTCGTTGGCCCGAAGTGGCTGCAATTAGAGAAAAAAACTTGATTTAAGCAAGCTACATCAAAATCAAATTAATTAAATTTATTTTCTTTAAAAGAGCCGTGGTTTAAGCACTGGTAATCGAATGTTTTTAACATTTAAAAATTTGCAATACCTGACACTTGTCTCTGTTATATTTCGTGAAGAGGCAGAAGTTTGGATTTATTTTATAAGGATGCTCTGGGAATAAGTTGACAGGCCGATTCTTTGGCCATGGCGAATCTATTGAAAAGCATCCATAGCCAGACTGCTCATAGCATTCTGAAAAGAAAATTATTAATTGAACAAAATCTAGTATAATTGGTACAATATAAATTTTTTAACTGTGCCGTCCTTTTAAACCAAATTGACCCCCTGCAAAATCTGAGCAGGACAGAAACTGAATTCCAACTCTATTGGATTGCTCGAAATAGCTGAAAAGCTCAAACATCTGGCATAAAAAAAAAATTATAAATTGTTTTAATTATTTATAAAAACAACTTATTAAGGTTCCACACAATACTTTTGAAAAAAAACCAAAGAAAAAAATAATTTTATAGCCATATAAATTTTTTAATATTTTTGCAAATTCATGATCCTCTTTTTAATTAACATAAATGGTTGTTATGGCTTTTGCTGGCTAGTCATTCTTTATATTTGCAAGCATCAATGAAAATGCTAATCAAATTAAAATCGGGTCTTGGCCTTGGATTGTTCAAACTGAATGAGGTTCACATAATACAAAACTATAGCCTATAGGATTGTATAAATCTACAAATTAAATCTCGATTTAGAATGTCTCTGCAAGAAAATACGCAAAATGCTTAAACGCGCAATTTGTATGTACAGTGCAAATACCAATTATTTATTTAATTTTCTGAAAGGGAAACATTTACGAAGTGAAAAGACTTGATGTTCCCTTACCTAAAAAACAAGACTCTTTTATGATTTAATTATTTTTATTTTCATTGTCTAAAGAATATTTCCCCCTAAAAAAAATTGGGAGAAAAAATTCAAAATATTTTTTACTCACTTGTGTCAGATTTGTCTTTGAAACCAATTGGCGTGAAACTAACTGGAGGATTAAATCCTGGGTTCATCAAAGTAGGAGGAGGATTTTGAATACCACCAAGGTTGAAGACGGATACGAGCGTCTGCAGGATCAAGTTGGTGCTGTTGACCACGGCCATTGTAACTCCTTACTCGACGCGCGCTTGACTGACTGCATTAGCCCTTGGTCTCTAACTCAGACCTCCTTCCCTAGCCTTACGTCACAAGTGACATCAAAATATTATTTTTCAAACAGAGTTCTTGGAAAGGAGAGGTTGGGATAAAAATGAGATAAACACTGATCCATAAAAAGATCCGCGCTTGAGGGAGTGCGAGAGACTTGAAACACTCCCTTAAGCGCGCATCTTTTTATGGCTCATAATTAGAGGGGAGGTGATTTTTTTCTTTTGTCAAGTTAGAGATAAACACTGTTTTTATAAATGTTAAAAGTACCGTTTATTAATCGCCTAAATCATGAAACCGAATAGTCAGACATACATTTTAACTGCAACTGATGAGAGAATGATATCAATACACTTAATGTCCACACTTTTTTCTTCTTTTTTAGAAACTGAGGTAAAATTTTGTTCTGAACATTGGCATTATTACTGCTAGGTATTCACTTAAAAATAAAAATAAAGAGCTCATGCTGCTAGTAGTGATTGATACAGAACTTATGGGCAATGAATTTTAGCCTGCCTGTTTATCCACCCTCTTTTTCTGCCTCCTCTTCAGAGGGATAGGCGTCTTCATCGCCTTCACCACCCTCTTCGTCTTCAATGAGTTCTTCCTCAGCCTCGTCATTGGCTTCATCGTCATCATCTTCTTGCTCCTCCATGATGACTATGTCCTCCTCTCCCTCCTCATCCTGAAAATCAAGTTTGGTTCAAAAGCTCAGAAGTGAAAATTCAAAAAAAAAGGGGGGGCTAGATGGTAAAGAAGAACGTCTAACAAATTAAGAATAATATAAATCTCCATGTCTGAATTTTTAATCAGAGAAATATTTCCAAAATAAAAAACGATATACATCTGTTACAGCTAAAAAATAAGGTTGCTGACCTCGCCACCATCCAACTCCATCAAGTAGTACTGCAGAGGATTGGGCCAAATGTCGTCCTTGATGACCTCAGCGATCTCGTCGCTGCAGGGGTCATCGTTGTTGAGGAACCAGGGGAAGAACCCGCCCATCTCATGGGGCCTCTTGCGCCCTTTGGCGTTGCCATTCTTCTTGGTCAGGTCCTGCCCGTCCTTCCAGTGTATATCTGTGCTTCGAGACACAGGGTCTGACAAACCCAGGTGGAACTCCTTTGAGATCACCTGCAACATAGAGGGCTAAGGTTTTCAATTTGTTCTTTCGTGACATGCACGGTCTACATCTAGAATTGTAAAAATTAGCTTCTTTTATAAAAGGAGCCCGACCGCAATGAACCGATTTGCAAAATCGTGGAATTTGTGATGCCTCGCTGCTGGAGACTTTGATTGAAGCATCAGGCTTCGCCACATGCCAAAAACATGCCCAGCCGGAAAGGCAACTGCATATTTCTCAGGCATGACATCGCTCCAGCTTTTGAGAACTCATGGCAAGTATCAGAACGGAGGTTCAGATCAAATTTTTTCCTCTTTCTCTTCAAAGATTAAAAATTTTTAGATGAATTCTCATTTCCCATAATTCAAGGATTTGTCTGCCTCCCCATGATTTGAATTTTTTTTTTATAAAAAGCCATTAAATGTCATCAAAAACATTAAATTTAGCACTGAATACCACAAAATGGACAAAATAATTTTAATTAGAGAGTAAAAGATTGGGGGATTTCAATTTTAAACTTGAAGAGCGTTTCGTCATTCTTGAACCAAGAGGTCTACCATTTCTCCGCATCTCCCAAAATCCAGTGGTGCTTGCCGCAATATCTACCCCAATCCTGAGATTCTTTATTTTCTCAAAGTATCCCAGGCACAAGTTCAAACCTAAAATACAAAGCAACACACAATTCTAAAAAAGATGGGTCAGATCGTCAGATCAGGGGATGTCGGGACCGATTTTTGGTCATCTATGGAAACCAGCAGAGAAAGAGGAAGGTGCAGCAGGACCATGGTGCATCCCATCCTCCCTCTTTTCCTTTGCGCTCACTGCTAGCCAAGTTCAAAACAAGCACCCAAGAGAAATTTGGTGCCATTCGAGGTTCGAGGCATTGCTAAGGCTCCGAACAGCTAAAAATGCTATGTGGATCTGACATCCCCCTGGGTCAGATTTTTTTTTATACAAGACAACTAAATAATCAGTAAGAGATGCAACTTTTTAGCTTAAGAATCACACTATATATTACAAAGTTTCAAAGAAAAGGTTGTACCTCATTAGAAAAGAAGGGGTTGTCCTCAAAGTGGAAGTTGATTTTGTATCCAGATTTAATGTCCTCAAACTCTTCAACCTCAAGCTTCTTCAGGTGTGTGAGGCAATCCTCTTCAGACTCGTCCAGTTGGATCTGCGGGTGATTGACAAATGCAGTGACCCAGAAGTTTGGTATCCTCTTGATGATTTCATTGCGCTTCTCAAAGAAGGGCTTCCGCAACTTGTTGTACTTCTGTTCCACCAGCAGAATTTCCTCGCTGGCCTTCTCATTCAGAGCATCGATCTCGTTCTGGCATGAGTCGATATCCACCAGCGCCTTTTGGGTCTCAGCGTCTGTGTCGCCCGTGTCTTCGCCGTTGCTACCCGAAGGCTTGGCCATTTTGCGCGGGGAGGGCCCGTCGTTTGACATGTCCTCGCTATTTAATTTTGCACCTGCAAATAAATTAAGTCAAATCGTCAGATATGAATAATTAATGCAAATGAATTACGAAGTTATCAACACAATGATTTCACAGACATTATTCATTATTTCTAAAATAATCTAAATTTTATAATTTTTTCCAATATTCAATATTTCAATTAAACACTGAACATGGAATTATTACTTTTCTTGGCACGAAATAAGAAATATTATCATTGGAAAATTCCCTACCTACGTAAATATAATTCATTTCAAATATGGGACTGTTCACAAAAGAATGACTGTGAATTGGCCTAAATTTCTGGTTCACTATGCCATGAAGTGTGAACTGCAAATTAAATTTTTAGAGTGATTTTTCATATAAAAAAAACTTATTTTTGATAGTTTTTCATATGTAAATTATTAAATGTAACTCGTGGAATTTCGCCACTGGTGGGAGATTTTTAGTATGGCATTTTTCAGAAATGTTTGGTCAAAGTTCGTAAAACACCCGAAATTGTAAAATTTTGGCTTGCACGCAAAATCAGAGATAAATTAATAAACATGATTTAAAACTAAAATACTGTCTACAGAAATTTGCTCCGTGAAGTCTAACACGAATGCAGGGAAGGTGGAAACCTGCAAGAAGCGAGTTACAAACAGCGATTCAATAGTTCCAGGCGGTCACCCATCCAAATACTGACTGCACTCACCGTTGCTTAACTTTCGTGATTTAACAAGAAACGGTGTTTTTCAACGTGACGTGACATAAATTAACATCTTAACAATAATAAATTTTGAATGCTAGCAAATTTTTATAAACATGGATCACAACATGATAATTAAAAAAATTATTGCATTACACAAAGCTTATACCAATTTTTTTTCCTGGATATCAACAATTGAAACAGAAAAATCAATCCATAAGAATGTATTATTTGCCAAGAATGGAGAATAAAATTAAATAGAAAAAAAATTGTAGGCTCTTAACAAAATCAAAAGCTGTCCAGGTGACGATGAATCAAGCACAAGGATGTTGTGCTTACATTGCGTTGTTTGCAACATATAAATGTTTCGGCTTTCGGCGTATATGTATGCAACCCGCGATGATACGATTGATACGCATAACCGGCATTCTACGAAATCAGTTGAAATTACGACTCCTGACGGCTAAATCGCCAGTCGGATTTCCAAATCGGATACCAAGAGCACTAAACAATAGTTATCAAAAGAAAATTCGCAGCATTTTGACTAGCGCGAGGCGCGAATACGAAAATGAGGGGCCATTTCTCATCATTGTGCAGCCATTACCGCGAGAGATGCTTCATCAATCACGACGTGCGATCCCACGCGAATGGGCGTTTAGCACCACGCACCGGTCGGTGGAGTCGAATGGACCGCTGCCGAACTACATCCCGAGGTTTCGGACGCGGTAATCGAACCACAGCGATGGGCAAACCAAGGCCGTGTTTTGTTTACCACCAAGCAAAGCATCTCCAAGCCCAATGTGACTTTAGCATTTATAGCGCAGAATCGAGCCCCAGGTCGCCTATTTTGGCTCCTGGGGTCGATTTGAGATACCAATTTAATATTCCTTACCTAAATCAAACGAATGCGAGCCGTGCTCTCTGAAAATCGGCCGATTTGCGTCGCTTTTCAGGCAGCTTTTTGCCGCTAACACATGGGACTGATATTTCGGCGCCTACGCCTACACCGCTGCGCACCACGATCGTCTTTTGTTTATGGACGCTGCAAATTTGTAGTTCCATTTTTGATCATTGCTGTTGGAGGGCAGCACCGGTCGGACGTCCATCATCCGTAATTTTTCCACATCCAAATGATTATTTTTCATTGAAAGTATCTTTTTCTTTAACTTGCCACAAAATCTCTCATCTGATCCAAATCTGATCCACCAATTCCAATATTCAATCCAACTGATCCAATCCACCTTGCTGGCCTGGGACCTCGTGCAAACGTTGCTTGCCGCTTCACTTATTTGAAGACATACACATAACTTAGGTATGCTGGGAATTTCGAGTTTCAAAATTTTGTAATTTTTCACCTTTTAACCGCAAGTTTTACTTGTCTTTTAGACTGAGCGAACTTAAAAATCCTTGACTCATCCACAGACTAATACAGATGTCTGTTGTGGTCTTGTGGCATCCACGGCCTGCTAGCATCACATCTCTATGTCATTAAATTAGCGACAAGTTGTCAAAAACAAAAAATGAATTTCCTAATGGTCTTTTCTGTGGTCATCGCTCTCGGCAGTGCTGATTGCGACCCCACTAATTGGGTTGACCCTTCTGATCTTCACTCGTATGACCACACATTGAAGAAAAACGTGGGAAGGTTTGAATATAAATAAAATCTTTGTAATATAAACACATCAATAATTAATTTTTGTTTTAATATTTAGCCCACGTGAAGGCCAATTTTTTTCGGATCCATCAGACCTTCATGGTTTTGGAGAGTTGAAAAGTTCAAAAGCGTCCGAAGTGTAAGAATTAATTCTAGACAAAAAACAAATTATTATTTGACTTGTAGGACTGAAAAAGTCCAGAGAGGTGCTACTGCTTTGACTTCAGAAAAGGACAAACAAAATTTCTGGTGTGTATATTATACTTCATTCCATATTAAGTTTAATAACACTCTGATCACATTATCCAAAATTCCGTTATTCTATTTACAAAACATTACGCTGTAAGTCCGCGCTTAATGGGTCCAAATACCTGATTGGTCAACATGCAAAAGGCTCAAATGTTTAGCATGCAAAGTGTCCAAGTCTAAATGCATATATTGGAATTTTTACAGTACAAGAGGTAAAAGAAGTAATACTGATAATCAAGATTTAAATCATCCAGTGCATTAAACCTCAACTACAATTGATAGAATGATATTAGTATAAATTAGTATTAATATTAATTAGTATTAATTTAAGTTGAAAAATTTGAATATATTATGAAAAGCTCTTGCGTTTTAATTTAATAATGTAAAGCCAAAAAATCGAAAATTGCAATAAAAAATAGTTCTAATTATGGAATCGCTTTGAAATGATTTTCCATGGTCAAATATGATTTATTTTACCTGATACATATTTAACATTGAGGTCTTCAGGTTCTGTACCTATTTAGACAAATTTGGAAAATAATTATCTGAAAATGACGGCAATAGCCTGAGCTTTATTCATTTCAGAGATAAAATTTTTGTGCAAGAAGAAATGGTTGGACTTGAATAGAAGCATTTCTTAATTTATTATTATTATTACTTCGCTTTTATTGTATCATAAGTGATATTACAAATAGTTGCAAATTGTGTTTATTAATGTACCACCGGGCATTCTCTGCCCAAATATATTATCCATACTTTCAACATAAGTCAATAAATAGCAATAATAATAATAACATTATTGATTACAAGAGAGAGAAATTATAAAAAAAAAAAAAAAAAAAAAAAAATAGAAAGACATAACATTTATGTTGAGTAAATTTATGATATGCATATTTGAAAATATGTATCCCCCTTCTCGTAAGACAATTTACATTTGCGCGGTCATTTTCTTTCGCAAGTTTTAAATTTTGGTCCAGCGGTTACAAAGCTACAGCCATATCAATGTGAACGCAAACCCTTTTATTATGTAACATTCTAGGTAGAATTAAAATATCTCATTATTTTGCTAAAATGATTCAAATTGCATAGTTTCTATAGAACCCAATCAGTATTTTAATTGTATTTTTAAACTTACCTAGCAGCTCTGGCATTGGTTCATAAACCATCTCTCAAGCAATTAAATTCTCACACATCTATATGTCTATTTAAATATTTTTTCCATTAAATTTAGTTAGTACCCATAAGTCCACTTGGAACCAGAACCAGTTTTCACGCTAAGTTTGATATTGGTCAGAATAGAATTTAATTTAGCCCCTTTTGCATGTAGTCATTTTGGCCTTTGGATCCGTTAAACAGACCTACAGCGTATAACTTGGTACTTAAAAATTAATTTTGTTTTTCAGTGGAGTAAAGTGCTTAATTTTTTTCCAGCGCCTTTGAAATTTTTGAAAAGACTGAATCTGAGCTGAGAGAATGCAAAAAAATGTGTACTACATCGAAAGAGAAATTGACCATGTCTCTCCTTCAGCGACAAACGTCCATGATTTTGGCTGCTGCCAACTTAATGGTAAAAATGATAGCCACATTAATTTGACCCATGTATTTATTAATTTATTCGATTCAAGACTGAACCCAGTGATGGGGGCTCTTACTCTTATCATGAGCGGTACATGATAATTTTTTTAGAAGATGATGCCTTGAAGAAATTGCAAGAATTTGCCAAAACAGGGGAGATTGACTTGTTGGCACTTGATTCTATCTGGAGCAATATGTTAGTGAAGGCTGAGAGTCCGAATGTTCTTAGATGGTACCACTTGTCCTACTGGAAGCCTGAGTTTTCAAGAGAGGTTCTTAAAAATTTGCCGTGCTTGTAAACAGTATTTATATTCAATTTTTACTAGAATTTCTACTTGTTTGTGGGCATTGGCACTATATTGACTGTCGTCCTAATGATGATCATAGGAGTGTCCATGTTGAAGATTTTCTGTCTTCTTTTACTACTCTCATTTGTGTTTAGTGTGTCCATGAGGGCTTTTAAAGTTCATCAGGCAAGTTTATTGTAAATAGCAAGAACATTTTTTACATACAAAAATATTAATTTCAGGCAAACTCTGCTCGCATGATGCACCTGTCAAACCCTCTCAGTATTAAAGATATGCCCAGTGCATGTCGACCCCATAGTAGGAATTGGTTGGAAACCTTAAAGCATTTTGGAGAATCTGATGGTTTGTTCTTTAAGACAGTTTAAGAGTGAAAAATAAAAAAAATTATTTTTCAGAATTCAACGCGCGGCTTTGTGCTCAGTATTATGAAGATGGTTATACGGATCCGATGACCCACATTGATCCATTAGAAATTATTGTCTTGCAGTATGGGCAAAATCTTGTCTCAATAGCTTCTGCAACTGGAAGGGCATCAAGGCTATTATTTGACAACTTTTTTGACACATTTGGCAAGTTTCATTATCAATTCTCAACCTCGATTAATAATTTAATTTATTTCAGGAGGCATACCTTTCATTTCACCTATCATTGGTGTAATATTGAAACTCCTTCTGTGTATTGTGTGTGTAATATCATTCATCCTAATAATTTGGCTAGTAGCCCCTACCATGGTAAAAGAGATGCTCAGATCGAGAACTGGAAGTAGATATGAACCCCAGGTATTAATCCAGTTCTAAGAAATTAAATAAATTAGGAAATTGACTCATTAAATTCAATTTATATCATGAGGTGTGGAAAAGCAAATTTAGATAAGTGCCCCGTGTAATTAATGTTAAATATTCTTATTTTGTAACATACTAGTAGTAATCTATTATCGTAGAACATACATAATAGATTACTCATTCTTAATATGTGATGACAGGAACTATCATCTCATCCAACATATTATTATTGCAACTCTTTTTATTGCGTTATGGGTCAATACGATATAACTACACTATAGCAATTCTCCCATGTGCAACTGGTTCAAAATTTCTTTTATTCTCACAACAATTTGAAAATTTCGTGGTAGAATTTAACGGTCAAGGGTTGATTCATGGTAATTTGAATTTAAAATCGGCTTTTCCTTGATGGGTTTTTGTGAGATGTTTAATGTTTCAGAAAAAACAATATCCTGCTCTACAGTCTTCTCTTGACCACCGCCGAGAAAGCTCATGAATAATGGCTGCAGCCCGCAGCCGAATCATGTAGAGCAGGACATTGTTTTTTCTGAAACAATAAACAACTCACAAAAAAAAATCGAGGAAAAGCCGATTTTAAATTCAAATTACCAATTTGAAAATTAATATTTATAATAATATTTATTCTTCACAATTTTTCAAAAATTATGAGCGACAGAAACAGAGAGAAAAAATACAAAATGTGAAGAAACAGTGGGTTTTGCCTTGAAATAACCGTGTTCTGCACAGCTCACTCCGCACTCTTGTTCCATACATTGGTAGCTTTCCCAGTATGTTGTGGAAAATTACTAGACTTGTAATTTTAATAAGGCAGAATAATCGATTTCTTATAAAGAGGATGACTGTGCCAAGCAGATTGGAGTATGACCAGGCCAATGTCGCTCACCCGACATCAAACAAAGTAACCGCCTCTGTGTTCAAAAAAACTAAATCTCTAGCCTACTCAGGGCAGCCCCAGATCACCAATCCATAGCTCATTACTCAGATTACTCATTACAGAGCAGTCATAAACCATCCTCAGGCCTGCTTAAGGCAACCATCGAAAGAGGAAGTACTAATTACCCCTATTGGCTCTGTCTAAATTATTTTCCACACCTTTTGATGTAAAAAAATATTAATATGTTGAAAAAAATTAAATCAGAATTGTATTTAATGCATCATTTTCCTTTGTATTCTAAATTTTACATTTCCGATGTGGAACCAAGTTATATTGCAAATTTATAATTTTTAGCAGAGCGTCTGTGGTACCTCTTCAGCCAATCCACATCCGATCATTGTCAATGTCAATTTGCCATCGGGAGCCATAATCAGCAACGAAATTACTCCTCCACGCAGATTTTCTGAGCCGACAATGATCGCAATTGAGGACAATTCTAATAAAAATGCAAAGCTTCTGAAAAAGCTGCAGTCGGAACCCATTTTTAAAAACTGTGAACCACTGCCTAAAATTGATGGCAGTTCATCAAGTTCTGTGGAGGAAATTCTTGAACAGTGCGAACAGGTCCAAGTTGAAGAAACCGAAAGTTGTGCACGAGAATCACCAATTTTCACCCTAGATGACTCAAATGCTAGTCAGGAGTCTAAAAGTAGAGAGGAAGATCCTGAAAGCCCTCAGAGCACTAACCAAGTTGTAGAAGTTCATAGTCCCTTGCTGGTTGAACTTGAAAGGATAGCAAACGACTTGGATGTTGAAGCTGATGATATTGAGGAGTGATACATCATTATTATTTCCTTCAACTGTTACCATTGTGACTGATCCCCTTTATCTTTAGGGGTGCTTCTGTATATTGATATCTGATTTTTGTTTTGGTCTCTTATTTTTATTGTATCAAAAATTCAAAATTGACTAGCTCTGTGTTGCACCAGACAAGACCTCTCTCTTTTTTTGACCCATCTGCTACCTTTTGCATGCGAAGAGTTGGCCTATTGGTAATCTTTGATAGCTCGCCGCAGGCGAAGAACTTTATCAAATTTGTAAAATCTAGTCTGATTCTGAAAGCTCAACTTTCTACACATTTGATTGGCATAACTTGAATTTTTTCATAGTTGAAATTGCCAATGTTTTTTCCTGGAATACTAATAAGAAAAAGTGCATTATGGGCCTTACCTTTTAGCAACATTATTAGTATCGGAACAAGTAATAAGTTCAATGTGTTTGGGACCTGATATTAAACACGATTCTAGGGACCTGATATTAAACACGATTCTAGGGACCTGATATTAAACACGATTCTAGGGACCTGATATTAAACACGATTCTAGGGACGGTTTTTCAAAATTAGCTTAATTTTTGCCCCTTAATTAGCAATTATTTGTTAAATGTGCCAGAAAAATTAATACGAGATGAAAATCTGAAAATTAAATCTCGAACTACATAGCAACGTAATTTTTCCATACTCTCTATTTTCCTGAAAATTGCCCATTTTCACAAAGGGACAGGGTTCAAGTTTTGAGCAAAATCTTGGCTTTTTGGGAGCTAGAGACAAAAGCTAAAGCAATTCTGAAATCTGACAAAATTTCCATTTTTTTTCTATTTGCTATGGCAACTGATATACAGAGAGCATGCAATCATTGCAACCTGCCAACCTGCACTAAAATCTCTTAAATAGCCAAAAATGTTGCTTGGTTTCTTCGCAAGACACCCCTATAAATTTTCAGATTTTTTTCTCCAGCTGTTTTCCTGCAATCGCCGATTTCCCCGATGCCTTATCAAAAATTTTCAGAGAAGATAATATATGTTCAAATTCTCTTACTGCCACTTTTCACCTGGGTGCATTTTTAATATTTAAAACAAGAATGAACATAATTCTTATCATAGAAAATTTATTATTATGTTACATGATTATTCTTCTCTGTCAATATAAAAAAATTTTAAATTGGAAAAAAAGGGAAGAAAGGGTTTACAACTAGCAGATGTCTGCTAAAACGCCCGATAATCCCGATATCAAAAGAGACTCGGTTGCCGCGGTAAACCCACACTATTGAAAAAAAGAACAATTGGATCTTAAAAGTCCAGCCTAACTAATTGGCTGTTGCTCATTCTAACTCATGACGAAACAAAATTGCTCATTGCAGCTGTATTAAAGGATTTTGTCGCAACATTCTGCGGTGCTATATGCCTAGATTTTTTTAGGGTCAGGCCAAGACAGTCTTGTTGACCTGTGTGCTTCAGAAGGCCCCACCAAATTTATTTTTATTTTTTTGGGGTTCAGCTTTATTTGAAATCTTTGTTTTTGCTGGCATATCATTATTTGATGATGACAATCAAAGCTGAAAACTAAAAAAGAGAAAAATTGGAAATGAAGAAATCGGGCTTTTCCATGATCATCTCCTCGAGTGTCAACTTCTTCAAACAAAAGAGAAAAATAATTAAGAAATGATGTTTATTACCGCCGCGGCCGAATCTTGTTTGATATCGGGCGTTTTGGCAGATTCAGATTCAGATAATATTTATTCCGTATAGATCAACATATCTTAAATTCTCAACAGATACCCTTTCTTCTCTTTTTCAAATTTTTGTATTGACAGAGAAGAATAAAAATAGCAAATCAGATGGTTGGATTTAGGTTGGGGTTGGAGAAGGTAAGATTTTGATATTTTAATTGTTAAAAGGAGTTTAACTGCGTAATTTCATATTAAATTTGTTGTGTATTTTTAATATTTTTGTTGTTGCTTGTGGAACAAATCGGAACAAACACTTGAAACTGTTCTCTGATAGATACCGAGCGCCATAGTTTCTTTTTTAATTTAGTTATAAATCCTTTAAAGGATTTTCTTATTAAGATGACGCCGGTGCGTAAAATGCATTTAATGATTTTCATCTCTGATCAGATCGTGCCATGAAAACCCCCCTAATTAATAAATTATTCTTGCTGAACCAGCTGAGCATAATATTGCCAATTTATTTATTTCAAAAGTTTGCAATCCGTTAATAATATTTAATGAAATGAAAATACTTCTGAATCCGAGTCTCTCACGACGAAGAATTGAAGCAGATAAAACGGTTACAAAGATTTGGTATGATGCTGACCTCCGTCGAGCACAGAGCACCTTTCATTCTTTCAACCCTTTGTGCCGCACCATATAAAATAATTCCCAGCATCTGATCTCGCTATGTGGAGATGTGGACGGATGTTTTAAACGCCGCACAAGCTGCCAATATAAACGATATAACAAATAACGATGGACGCATAACAATATGCATTTATAATGATAAAAATTGCAAGCGGTCAGTTGCGTTTGCGCGCTATTTAAAGACGCGTCTGTTTGCTAATTTAAATTCAGCAAGACCGGCGTGCATGTGTGAAAATAAAAAAGCGGCCGTTATATTTTTTGATCATGATGGTCCATGTGATCTTCTTTTGTGCGAGATGAGATGCTGCTGCTGAAACTGGCCGCGCAGAATATAAATGGACCCCCGAAAACCGGATATAACTGTGCGCTGTAGAGAATCTTGTCACTTCATAAATAACACACATAGCCGCGGCTCTCTTTTTATCTCTCTGTCACTGCGCTGCTTAGCTCATTGTGAGAAATAGAACGAATTTTACGTTTTTGTCTTTTATTGTGTGTCTCTGTCTCTCCATGTGCCTGATGATTACTTCTAGTGCTCTTTCATTAAAAAAATATTATATGTTATTGCCACCATTATACTTTTTCTCATTTTCCTCTTCTTTCTAACTGACGCTGTTTTACATAAAAAGTTACTTTTTGATAGGTCTATTTTGTGTCTTGACATAGAATTCATTTTAACTTTCAAAAAGAAATCGGGGTTTTGTGATTTTTCAATGAAAAGATTTGATGAAAGAGAAATACGCACTCATTTCAATATTTTTTAAAGAGTGCGTATATTTTTTTTCTTTGCAAAATCTATTACTGGTCTATTATTATTATTGTTTATTCAATTCACAACACTGTTCAAGTTCAAGTTCAAGTTCGAGTTTATTTAATTTTGATATAAGCTAATTTATACATTTACAGTATAAAGCTTTTGCAAAACAGGTCAATAAAGAGAATTGTTAATTATTTAGAGCGAAACATTCGCCCATGTCATAAAACTGGTTTTCCAACACATATTTTTTCACCTTCGTTACAAGCTCATCATCATTTTTACAAATTTTAATATTTTTCGGCAATGCATTAAAGATTCTAGGTATCATAGCAGCAGGACTCTCTGCGGATATTATGAGTCTACACGAGACTTCAACAAGGAATAAACTGATTCACAAGTGAATAAAAAAGAAAACAAATAAATGGAAAAATGAGCAGAAAGATCAAATCACAATTATTAGAGATCAGAACAAAATATATGCAAAATAAACAAATAGACAAGGTTGACGAGCGCATTAATTTTCGGCACGCTCGCGCTCTTCAGTGAAAAGAGTGCTCGCGAGCGTCTCGAGCGCACATAGTTAGTTTTTAAATTAAATTAACGGCTGAAACTGTCAGGGTTTCTACAAATTTTCCTAATCCCTTTCCTAAACCCTTTCTTCTCTTTTTTTTTCCAATAAAAATTTTTGTACAGACCGAGAAGAATGCTTGGCTTTTCCTTGCTCACACGTCGCTTGAGCACCGGCCTACAACTGGCTCGACTTGTAAAATATTTTAAATAAATATGCTTTTTTATTTATAAAAAGTATTAAAAGTGAATACAAGTCTTCGCAATTGCTTAGTATCGATCGCGGTTGTCTGTTGAAAGCGAACGTCTGCGCGGAGATTTCAACGGTGGTGATCTTGATCTATCGTCAATGCCAGCAGCCGAAGCCAGTTTGCAAACTCGATTGCATTCACAATTCACAATCGGTGCACCAGTGCATTGTCTGGCTCGGCAGGCAGGCCATTCTCGCGCACTTTCATATGAATCGGCTGAGGTAAGTTATAAAGGAGAAACACACACGAGATGTGCTGTCTGGTGGAGAATACAATTTTTTCTCGTGCACGACGGCTGGGCAAAAAAGAAAGACGGAGAGCGCAACTAACGAGTTCGCTTGCTTCCATACCATCCATACCCGCCGCGAATACCGGCTATAAGTGTTCTCCGTCAAGGCCGTCTCGCCATTTAGTCACTCCACTCACGCCCGATATCCAGACTCACTCAGCGCCAACCGAGATTCGCCAGAGCAGACCGGCCAGACGGCTAACAACTAACCATTTTCTTTTGTCCCGAGCCGCGGTGTGCGCTTTTTGCCTTTTCGGGAAATATAATGGAATACCTTTAATACATACTTGTTTTGTATTATATTATAGAGCATGCAAGTGACAGGACAAACATGACGTTAAACGCAACGAAAAACTAGTCGTCGTCGCCGCTCTCTTGCTGGGCATATTTTCTTACATCTTTTTAGCAGATCTTTAGTGGAGGGATGCTCGATATCTTTATAGATGATCTCTTTTGAGGCTATATTGCCAGTTTAGAAAATTTTTCCTTTTTAAGAGACAAAATTTATGTTAGCCAACAAGGAAATCTAGATAAACAATTTATTCCTTTAAATAATGGTGTTAATGCAACTTTTGGACTTCATTATAATAATTATTGAACAGCGAGTTTTTTACATTCAGAGTGATGTGTGCATATTTGCATAAGTGTTCAACTCACCGCGCGTCAGACGTGCCAAGGCGCTGATGTAAAGAGACCAGAGAGAATAAACAAATTCTGCTATTGTTAATAAAGAGTGCGTCCCATGTCCGCAATTTTGGCGCTCAATAATTGCTCAAATTTGTTTATTCTCATGCTATTTAGCTCCCCGTTAATTCTTTCTCGGCTGGCTTCTTATGAAAGAAACCTCTGTCCGAGCGAGTCTTACCTCCCTTAAAATGACACACATTCAAGAAATTACAAGGAGTAATTAATAATTTCATACCTTCTAAAGGAGACCAACATGATTTCCAGAGCCTTTAAA